CTCTGTGTGAGCCTCTGTGTCCCGATCTCCCTCTTTCTCGTATGAAGACATCCGTCACTGGATTTAGTGTCCCCCAGTCTAGGCTGACTGCTTCTTCTTTTTTTTTTTTAATTTTAGTTACAGCTAGTTAGCATGCAGTGTTATATTAGTTTCAGGTGTACAATACAGGTGTACAATATAGTGATTCAACACTTCCATACATGACCCCGTGCTCTTTGTGACAAGTGCGCCTCTTAGTTCCCATCACCTGTTTAGCCCGTCCCCCCACCCCCACCCCTCTGGTAAACATTAGCTTGTTCTCTGTAGTTACTCTGTTTCTTGATTTGTCTCTCTTATTTTTTTCCTTCGTTTGTTTTGTTTCTTAAATCCACACATGAATGAACTCATACGGTATTTGTCTCTGACTTATTTTGCTTAGCATAATGTTCTAGGTCCATCCGTGTCGTTGCAAATGCAAGATTTCATTTTTTATGGCTGCGGAATATTCCAGAGTGTGCACGTGCATGTACATGTATTTACACACATACATATCTATACCACATCTTTGTCCGCTCATCAGTCAATGGACACTTGGGCTGCTTCCATAATTTGGCTCTTGTAGATAATGCTGCTGTAAACATCGGGGTGTGCGTATCCCTTTGAATGAGTGTTTTTGTATTCTTTGGGTAAAGACCCAGTACTGCAATTACTGAATCGTAGGGTAGTTCAATTTTTAACTTTTTGAGGAATGTTCCACACTGTTTTCCACAGTGGCTGCACCAGTTTGCATTCCCATCAACAGTGCACGAGGGTTCCTTTTTCTCCACATCCTCATTAACACCTGTTTTTTTTTAATTTAAGATTTTATTTATTTATTTGACAGAGAGAGACACAGCGAGAGAGGGAACATGAGCAGGGGGAGTGGGAGAGGGAGAAGCAGGCTTCCCGCTGAGCAGGGAGCCCGATGCGGGGCTCGATCCCAGGACCCTGGGATCATGACTGAGTCGAAGGCAGATGCTTAACCAACTGAGCCACCCAGGCGCCCCAACACCTGTTGTTTCTTGTGCTGTTGATTTTAGCCATTCTGACAAGTGTGAGGTGAGAGCTCGTTGTAGTTTTGATATGCATTTCCCTGATGATGAGTGATGTTGAGCATTCTTCTTGTGTCTGTTGGCCATCTGGATGTCTTCTTTGGAGAAACATCTCATGTTTTCTGCCTATTTTTAAATTGGATTATTTGGTTTTGTTTGGTGTTGAGTTGTATAAGTTCTTTATATGCTCTGGATATTATTAGCCCCTTATCAGATATGTCATTTACAAATGTCTTCTCCCATTCGGTAGTTTGTCATTGAGTTTTGTTGATTATTTCCTTTGCTGTGCAGAAGCTTTTTATTTTGGTGTAGTCCCAGCAGTTTATTTTTGCTTTTGTTCTCTTGCCTCAGGAGACATATCTAGAAAAATGTTGCTCCGGCTGATGTCAGAGAAATTAACTGCCTGTGTTCTCTTCTAGGATTTTTATGGTTTTGGGTCTCACATTTAGGTCCTTAATCCATTTTGAGTTTATTTTTGTGTATGGTGTAAGGAAGTAGTCCAGTTTCATTCTTTTGCATCTCGTTGTCCAGTTTTCCCAGTACCATTTGTTGAAGAGACTGTCCCTTTTCCACGGCATATTCTTGCCTCTTTTGCCAAAGATTAGTTGACCGTATAATCGTGGATTTGTTTCTGGGCTTTCTGTTCTGTTACATTGATCTTCACATCTATTTTTGTGCCAGTACCAGACCACTTTGATTACTATAGTTTTGTAGTATATCTTCAAATCTGGAAGTGTGATACTTTCTGCTTTTTCTTTTTCAAGATTGTTGTGGCTATTCGGGGTCTTTATGGTTCCGTACCAATTTTAGGATTCTTTGTTCGAGTTCTGTGGAAAATGCTGTTGGTATTTTGATGGGAATTGCATTAAACCTGCAGATTGCTTTGGGTAATATGGACATTTTAACAATATTTGTTCTCCCAATCCACGAGCATGGAATATTTTCCCATTTGTTTGTGACATCTTCAATTTCTTTCATCAGTGTTTTACAGTTTGCAGAGTGCAGGCCTTTCACCTCCTTGGTTAAGTTTATTCCTAGGTATTTTATTATTTTTGGTGCAATTTTAAACGGGATTTTTTAAAAAAATTTCTCTTTTGGGCGCCTGGGTGGCTCAGTTGGTTAAGCGACTGCCTTCGGCTCAGGTCATGATCCTGGAGTCCCGGGATCGAGTCCCACTTCGGGCTCCCTGCTCAGCAGGGAGTCTGCTTCTCCCTCTGACCCTCCCCCCTCTCATGTGCTCTCTCTCTCTCTCATTCTCGCTTTCTCAAATAATAAATAAAAATCTTTAAAAAAAAATTCTCTTTCTGTTGCTTCATTCTTAGTGTATAGAAATGCAGTGGATTTCTGTACCTTGATTTTTGTATCCTGCAGCCTTACTGGATTCATTTATCAGTTCTAGCAGCTTTTTGGTGGAGTCTTTAGGGTTTTTTATATATAGTGTCATGTCATCTGCAAATAGTGAAAGTTTTACTTCCTTACTGATTTGGCTGCCTTTTATTCATTTCTCTTGTCTGATTGCTGTGGCTAGGACTTCAGTACTGTGTTGAATAACAGTGGTGAAAGTGGACATCTTTGTCTGATCCTCTTCTTAGGTGAAAGCTCTCAGTTTTTCCCCATTAAGGAAGATGTTAGCTGTGGTTTGTCATATATGGCCTTTATTATGTTGAGGTATGTTACCCCTTTATAAACTCACTTTGTTGAGGGTTTCTGATTTTGTTTATTTGAGTTCTTCTCTCTATTTTTTATGAGTCTGGCTAAAGGTTTGTCAATTTTGTCCATCATTTCAGAACACCAGCTCCTGGTCTCATTGATTTGTTCTATTATTTGTTTAGTTTCTATTACGTTTGTTTCTGCTCTAATCTTTATTACTTCCTTTGCTCATGTTGGTTTGGGGTTTTATTTGTTCTTTTTCTTGCTCCCTTAGGTGTGAGGTTAGGTTACTTATTTGAGATTTTTCTTGCTTCTTGAGGTAGGCCTGTATTGCTATAAACTTCCCTCTTAGGACCACTTTTGCTGCATCTCAAAGATTTTGGACCACTGTGTTTTCATTTTCATTTGTTTCCGTATATTTTTTTATTTCCTCTTCGATATCTTGGTTGACCCATTCATTGTTGAGTAGCATGTATTTGTGGTCTCCCCAGATTTTTTTCTTTTTTTTAAAGATTTTATTTATTTATTTGACAGAGAGAGACACAGCAAGAGAGGGAACACAAGCAGGGGGAGTGGGAGAGGGAGAAGCAGTCTTCCTGTGGATCAGGGAGCCCAATGTGGGGCTTGATCCCAGGACCCTGGGATCATGACCTGAGCCAAAGGCAGACACTTAATGCCTGAGCCACCCAGGCGCCCCCCCCCAGATTTTTTTCTTGTTGATTTCTAGTTTGATAGTGTTGTCATCAGAAAAGCTGCATGGAATGACTTTGATCTTTTTGACTTTGTCAAGACTTGTTTTGTGGCCTAATGTGCTCTATTCTAGAGAATGTTGCATGTGCACTTGAAAAGAATGTGTATTCTACTGTTTTAGGATGGAATGTTCTGAATATATCTGTTAGAGCCATCTGGTCCAGTGTGTCATTCAAAGCCACTGTTTCCTTGTTGAATTTCTGTTGGGACGATCTGTCCATTGATGTAAGTGGGTTAATTACTATCAATTACTTCCTTTATAGTTGTTACTAACTTGTGTCTTTGGGTGCGCCCATGTTGGGTGATATAGTGTCCTTTATCTCTTTCTACAGTCTTTGTTTGAAAGTCTGTTTTGTCCCATGTAAGTATTGCTACCCCAGCTTTCTTTTCACACTATTTGCACGATGAATGCTTCTCTACCGCTTCACTTTCAGTCTGCATGTCTTTATGTCTCAAATGAGTCTCTTGCAGGCAGCTTATAGATCGGTCTTGTTTTCTTATCCATGCCATCACCCTTTGTCTTTTGATTGGAGTGTTTAGTCCATTTACATTCAAAGTAATTATTGGTGGGTATGTATGTATTGCCATTTTGTTACTTGTTTTATGGTTTTTTTGTGGTTTTTCTCTATTCCTCTCTTCTCCCACTCTCTTCTCTCATGATTAGTTGGCTTTCTTTCTTTCTTTCTTTTTTAAGATTTTATTTATTTATTTGACAGAGAGAGATAGAGCAGGAACATAAGCAGGGAGAGTGGGAGAGGGAGAAGCAGGCTTCCCGCGGAGCAGGGAGCCTGACTGGGGGCTCGATCCCAGGACCCTGGGATCATGACCTGAGCCGAAGGCAGACGCTTAACAACTGAGCCACCCAGGCACCCCTAGTTGGCTTTCTTTAATGATGTACTTGGATTCCTCTCTTTATTTTTTGCTTATCTATTACTGGTGTGTGATTTGTGGTTACCATTCAGTTTGTGTGTAACATCCTTTGCATATAGCAGTCTGTATTAAGTTGATGGCCACTTAAGTTTGAGCCCATTCTTCTATTCCTCTCCTCCCCACAGTTTAGGTGTATGGTGTTGTACTTTACATCCTTTTATTTTGTGAGTCAGTTGACTGAGTTTTACCAATATACGTATTTTTACCACTTTTGTACTTCAGACTGACTTCCTCTTGATTTCATCTGTAAAGACCCTGTTTCCAACTAAGGTCACACACACGGGTGTAGGGCAGGAACTGAGACGTATCCTTAAGGAGGACACAACTCGGGCTGCCCCAGAGGGAAAGGATAGTTGAGCAGAGGACAGGGTGCGTCCCTGAGCAGGGAGGGGAGGTCTGGGAGCAGGAAGGGTGTCGGGGTGCAGGGGTTGACAGGGTTGAAGGGTTGAAGCCCAGGCTACAGCCGCGAGTGGGAGGGACCATCTGTGAGGCTTCTTTCCAAATGGAGCTGCTCTCAGGGCTGAGCCTCTTGGCCATGCCACGCTTCCCTTAGGCTGTGTCAAGCCTCCTTATCTACAACTGTGTTTCTTTTTCAACCAGGAAACTACTTTGCCTCGCACTTTTTCATGGGAGGTGAGAAATTTGACACCCCCCACCCTGAAGGTTACCTCTTTGGAGAAAACATGGATCTGAATTTCCTGGGCAATCGCCCAGTCCAGGTGGGTACAGGTGGGTCTCGCCCGGGCTAGGCACGTGGGTGGCAGCGGTGAGGTGCCTCCCCTCCGCTGTCCATAGCCAGCTTTGAGGACAAGTGGGCACTGAGTCGCCCCAGACGGGCAGAGCTGCTGGCGGGACGTGTGTGTGTGTGTGTGTGTGTGTGTGTGTGTGTGCGCGCGGGCATGTCCTGGTGCTGCCCCCTGAGACCCTGGATGGCCGCAGGTTGGTCACTGGAGACAGGATGGCTGTTGCTGAGCCCAGTGCATCCAGGCTATGGGACCACCTCAAGTTCGCTTTCACTAGTCACCAGAGAAGTGCACGCTTATACACTGCTGTCCATTTATTCAACACATATTTGGCACCTGCTGTGTGCCTAGGACTCTTCCAGGGGCTGGGGGTGGAAGACAGATCCCACCCCATTCCCTGCAGGGGTTGCTGACAATGAAGAAGAGAACATTTCATGAATGGAAACTAAAGAGAGAGGGAGAAGGATGAGTGAGGGCCAGTGGGGAGGGGGATGCCGAGCAGGGGATTGGGGTTTGTACTTTGAAATGATGGTCCCCAGTGTGGGTGAGGGGCCAGGCAGGAGGCCCTCTCTTTCAGGAGACATTGAACTCTGTTCCCCTAAGGCTGCTGAGTCCTGGGGTGTTTCTGGGCCTGACAGGAGGTGGGGTATCCTCTGGACCAGGAGTCTTGAGGCTGTTTTACAACAGAGCAGCTGGTTGAAATCTTGATCCTTTAGTGGATGGGAGGCAAGGAGCTAGGGCCTGGTGGACCATCCTCCCCCACCCATAGGACCACTGGGGCTTTCGGGTGGTGCTGAGTCTCCCCCAGCCTCCTGAGTCCACGAGAACAAGAAAGCAACCTCACTTCCATCTTTGAAGCCTCAGCTCACACGTAGGGCCTGGCTCTTACAGACCTCCATAAATCTGTTATTTTTTAAGCTTTGAGAGCATCATAGACTCACCTGCAGTGGTGAGAAGTGATGCAGAGAGATCCTATAAGCCCTCTCCTCTGTTACCCCAGTGACAACATCTAATAAAGCTCCAGTGTGCTATCACAACTCTCCAGATGACTCCCGTGTCTAGCATGCATCTGTGTGTGTCTGTGTGCTAGTCCCCTCCAGAATGTTTACTGAGCATCGTCCTTTTTTATTCCCCATTTTATTCCGGGCAGAAGTGGGCATCAGGTCCCACCTGTGGGAGCATGGCCTGAGAGCCCCAGCCCTCACTGCCCCAGGGTCCCTCGGGCCAGGTTATGCTTGCTGAGGGTCCTCCTGGAATTGGAGGACTGTGGTGAGATCTGTGTGGCCAGAACCTCCAGGGTGGCCTGGGCCCTGCTCCCCCGTTCACCCGCTGCGCTACCTGCACTAGGGCCGGGGAGTACAGACTTGTGACTGTTGCTTCGATCATTCCTGTGTTCTGCCCTGGCCGCACCTTAGGGAGTCACCGGGCACTGCTTTGGGTTTTTCCCTTCTAGTTTCCTTACGTCACCCCTGCCCCCCATGAGCCAGTGAAGACACTGAGGAGCTTGGTGAACATCCGAAAAGACTCCCTGCGGCTTGTGAGGTAAGGCTCCGCCCCGCCCTGCTCTCTGGCCCCTGATGCCTGGAATAGGGGCAGTGGCGAGCGACCCCAGGCTCTGCTAACCTTGGGCGTGAAGCCAGAAGGTTGCAGGCAGGTCTCGAGCCCCAGAGTTGCTCCTGGGGTGTGGGTGCAGAGGGAGAGGAGGCCAGCAGGGCTCTGCTTGTGAAACTCTAGTCTTTAAACCAGGGCTTCTCAACCGGCAGCTGTGCCCCCAGGGACCCTGGCCCGTGTCTGTTGTCACAGCTGGGGGATTGGGTGCTGCAGGCCCTCAGTGGGCAGAGACCAGGGATGCTGCTCAACACCCTGCAGTGCACAGGACAGCCCCCAGCCAGGAATGATCCAGTCTCTAGCATCAGCAGGCCAGAAACTGCTTTTAAACCTGGACGGCTTGAGGCGTCTGGGGCTGTCTCTAAACCAGGAGGACTCCTCCCCTTCTGTGGGCAGGAGGCGAGGGAAGGACAGCTCTGCAGTGTTGGGCCTTATTGTCCACCCAGGAGCGGGTCTGCACATTTCCAGGCAGCCACCTCTGAGGACCCCGGCTGGGGGGGGGATGTGCATGCTGTGCAGGGTGGGGGCGCTTACAGGCAGGACCCCTGACCTGCTGCCTGTTCCTCTGCCTCCCGGGCAGGTACAAAGATGGTGCAGACAGCCCCTCCGAGGACAGTGAGAAGCCCCGTGTCCTCTACAGCCTGGAGTTCACCTTTGATGCCGACGCCCGGGTGGCCATCACCATCTACTGCCAGGCGGTGGAGGAGTTCCTGAACGGGACTGCGGTGTGAGTCTCTGGGCCTGGGGGAGTGGGGCGGGCCCCAGCAGCTGTGCCTCTGTGGTCCGTGTTGTGTGTTCAAGCTTCTAGAGGTTTTATTTGCAGTAAGGGTCCTGCTGGCCCCAGAAGTTTGGAATCTGCAACTTCAGCAGCAGATTTGGACAGACCAGGGAAAACGCACCTGCTTGTGTCCTGTTAGGGAAAGCCACCTGTGGGCCCGACTGGATCTGGGATTGGGACTCAGGCTTCAGGTGCTGGCCCTGCCCTGCACCTGCCAAACAGCTCCTGGCCTAGGACCGCTTGTGCCTCAGTTTCCTGAGCTGGGAGTGGGGGTGGCTGGAGTGGCCCCCTCGTGTTTGGTATAAGGACCTTGCCGCTGCTATTGGAGAAAACTCAGAGGTGGGGCTTTGTGGGGAGCACCCCCTTCAGGGAGTGAACGCTTTGTCCTCTGTGGGGCTCAGTGGGCTGGGGGCCTGGGCCCCTTAGGGGCTGCCCTTAACGTCCCCCCCTTGTTCCCACCCACCCCCACTCGTACCCGCCCTGGCAGCAACAAGAGGACAAGGTTCCTTTTCCTGTACTTTCTTCTTTGAGGCTTCACGCTGACCCAAACATTGGATTACTTTTGTTTTTTTCAATGACACAAGCCGTTTACAATGTGTTCTTACCGTAAGCCAAGAATGAGAAGATCCAGGAGTATCTGGGGGCCTGCCCCCCAGAGGTAAGCGTGGTGCCCTGTGGGTGCTGTCGCTAATGTGGCCATTCAGGTCCCTCCCTGGCCCTCCTGGTGCCCTGTTGGCTCTTTCCATGTGACCCTGCCTGCCTGACCTTTGTCCCCAGCCATGTTCACCTCTGGCTCCTGACCAGGAGGTGGGAGGACACATGTGGGAGGGCCACAGTGCCACATTGGTTGGGGTGAAGCTTCTGTGTTCTCTGTTTTCTTCTAGTTTGGCTGCCACAGTGGAGGGGTCCTGGCTAGTGGGGAGGGGTCTAAGGGCTGCCACAGAGAGGGGCAAGGGACGGGTAGGCCAGCAGGTGCGGGCGAGTGGCCCACCCACCCCACACTCCCCCAGCTTTTGTCTTTGTCACACTTGGGCTGGTAAGAGGTTCCATATGCTCGAGAAGAGAGTCTGCTGCCCCCAGAAGGACAGTAGATGCCTGAGCCAAGGGCATAGCCCCTGGAGCCTTCGTCTTGGACCCCTGGGAGACTCTTCTGCAGGGGGAAAAACGCTGCTCTGTCCCCTTCCTGAGACCTGGCCGGAGTGGCTGGGAGCCATGCTTCCCTTCTGAGTTTGCTGGAGTTGAGTGGTGTGAGCACAAAAGTCAACGGAACAAAGAGAATCAGGAAGGCTCCGGAAGCCTGTGCCCAGGGACCTTTACCTTAGCCTGGAAATTCTGTTTGCATTCCCTGATTCCCTCTCTGCTTCCTGACAGGCGAGAAAGGGGGCAGATCTGAGGTCCCAGAGAAAATCTCAGGTTTGCATGGCAGCAGAGTCCTAGCCTGTGTCTACCACGGGCCGAGGCCTGGGTTCTCACAGGGAAGGAAGGGCCTCTGGCCTCTGGTGGGCGGAGGGGCCCTCTCTCTTTGTGCGTACAAGAACAACCCCCCGCCCCCCAGTCTGTCAGGCTCTCCAGAGTGTCTTTTGTCTAAGAGACTGAGAGAGGCCCCAAGAATGGTGGGTGTGGGGTAGGTGGAGGAAGCTTTTTCAGGGTGGTGTGTTGGATTCCTGAATGGGGAGAAGCCAGAGTTGATCAGAATTGAAAATGTGAGTCCTCTTTGACCCAGCTGTTCCTTTTCTGGGAATGTGCTTGTAATATGTGGCTAAGATGGATGTAGAAGCAGGTCCTGGAAGCGTTGTGTGCAGTAGCAAGATGTTGGAGACCGTCTGGCGTTCACCCCGTGGTGGAGGCCGTGCAGTGTTTGCAGAGCACTCAGCTCTGTGTGTCGGCTAGGGGACATCTTCGGGGCCCGGCAGTAGTGAGAGCAGGTGTGGGTGGACTGCCGCTGGAATATGGAAGAGCAGACTCCCGTGCATTCGGGCGTGGGGGTTGTGGGGGACGCCTCCCACTGAGTACATGTTTGTACCATGTTTGTTCAGCACAGTAAACACACCATAAAAGCCAAATGGAAAGGTGTAGCTAGATCTGGAAAGGCAGTTACTGGGCAGGTGTGGGCTCTGGAGGACTTGTGACCCGGCAGAGCTGGTGGTGAGCAGAATGGGGCCACTGAAGTCAATGGCAGGCTGAGTGCCCTGCCCCGCCACAGGAGGGCTGGCATTTGCAGGAAGAGAAAGGAAGTGTGGGTCCTGCACGTCCAATTACCGCTCGGTCCCAAAAGCCCAGTGGCTGCCAGCCCCTGTGTCACAGGCCCCTGTGCTCGGGGGCTCGCCCTGAGGACCAGGCGCAGCAGACCGTTTGCTCTCAGCAGAGTCTCAGCGGCCTTTCTCTCGGCTGCCCCTTCAGGTACAGCCCCAAGAGCCCCGCCCTGCAGTCCGAGACCGTCCACTACAAGAGAGGGGTGAGCCAGCAGTTCTCCCTGCCCTCCTTCAAGATCGACTTCTCCGAGTGGAAGGATGATGAGGTAACCTTCTGGCCAGGCCCCCCTTTCCCGGGCCCCTTTCCCGAATTCCCTCCTCCTTGTGGCGGGGGACGAGCACCTCGGGGCCTGTCTGCTCAGATTCCTTGCGTGGTTGATAAGCATCAGGAGTGGCTGCTGACTCAGGTCTGTGTGCTCAGTCGGGCTTGTGCTGGACCAGAGAGCGGGGTTTGATTCACGTGTTGGCGGCGGTTACAGGCTCCAGTACCCAGCTTTGGTGCCTTGTCAGGGCCACGGGACTGCAGGATGGCAGGACCCCTTCCACCGTGTGGTTCCATAGCTGGGGACGGTAATTTATGTCATGTGAAGGATGGTGATCGAAGCTTTGTCTGTAATAGCAAAAAATGCAAACAACCTGTATGTCTGATTGCTTGTTCACTGAGGTTATGGGAACCATCTGTCTGCATAATACGGGCCCCGTGGTTCACTTCTATAACGGATGCTGTGCAGCCTTAGCGCAGGGGAAAGGGATCTGTGTGTACTGTACAGACTGATATCCCCTTACAGGCTTGGAGGGCCATTGCAGACAGATATAGTATAATTTCATGTATGCGACAACAAGAAAAATGCACAAAGCCATTTCTGCAGGTACATGTATGTGTATATAAATCTTGAGGAGAAACTAGGGAAGATGCCCGTGAAGCTGCACAGGGTCTTGGGAAAAAACAAAGAATTCTAGAACACATGTATGCACACACATACACACTGTACGTGAACGGTGTGCGTGCCAATACTGTAAACGTGTCTGAATTGTTACAACAGGTCTGTTAAGGTATAATTTACGTACCAAAAAACCCTCCTAAGTATATAATTCAGTGATTTTTAGTAAATTTATGAATTATGTGATGATCATCACAATCCAGTTCTCAAACATTTCCATCCTCCACTAGGGTCCCTCAATGCCCACTTGCAGTTAATCCCTGTTCCTAGCCCCAGCCCCTACATTAATCTACTTTCTGGACGGACTTGGCTTTTCTGGATGTTTAATATAAATGGAGTCTTATGGTTTGTGGCCATTTGTATCAGGCTGCTCTCATTTAGCTGAATTCTGTGGTTTCTTGAGGAAGGCAGTCGTATATCACTAAAATAAATTAGGGGGAAGGAACGGGGGCATTGGGGCATGGGTGGTATAGGAATTGGGCAGGAAGGTTCTGGCTTGTGGACTGTGTCAGAAGGTGAAGGCACACCACGGTGTTTGCTCTTGGCTTTGTATGTGGTTGCTTGTCAGGGTGCTTTGATGACAGGCAGCAGAAGCTGCCGTTGTATCACTTACGCGAGAAAGTCCTCTGAAAGAAGAATGGGGCCACTGGAGCTCTGCCCCCAGTCCCATTCCATCAGATGGTTCCATCCCTGCATGTCCACACTCCTGGTCGGTATACCCAGCAGGTGCATGTGGTCCTGCTCACCCTCCTGTGAATGGGGGAAGCTGCTCCCCAAAGAAAGGAGGGGGCTGGGTGGGCAAAAGGGGATTGGGCAGACAAGTGGGTGTCCCCACCCTGTGGTTGCTTGTGGGGAGGGTTGGGCTGAGGCTGCATCTCACTTTGGTGACCTCTGTTCATAGAGCAGTCCCTTGCCTGGCGTTTTGGCCACAGAACAGATCTTTGTGCATTTGCAGATGTGCTGAGTCAGGCCGACAGTTTGGGTTCCAGACTCCTGGTGAGGTCAGTTGTCCTGGGGGCACACTTGGCTCATAAACCGGTATGAAGTGCCACATAGGGGCACCCCCTTTCCTCCCTTAGAGCATCAGGGGCCCACATTCCAACTTGTCAGCGTGTGACACGGTGGACATGGCGGGGGTGGTGGAAGGCGCAGTGGGTGTGGTAGGCAGCCACGTGGGCCTGTCTCGGATGGACTCATCCCAGGGTCCCTTCCTCGTCTTTGCCTTCTCTGATTATCTCCTCAGCTAATATGTTCTCAAAATCAGCTCACTTCTTCTTTTATGTATTTTTTTAAAAGATTGATTGATTGGTTTGACAGAGAGATACAGCGAGAGAGGGAACACAAGCAGGGGGAGGGGCAGAGGGAGAAGCAGGCTCCCCGCTGAGTAGGGGGCCCAATGTGGGGCTCGATCCCAGGACCCTGGATCATGACCTGAGCCGAAGGCAGACGCTTAACCGACTGAGCCACCCAGGCATCCCCTGTTAGATGTATTTTTAAATGGAAACTTTTATCAGTTATTACTGTGGTTGGGAAACTAAGCCTTGCCATAGATAGGAGGTCCCGGAAGTTATTACGTCCTCTCCCTGTGTTGCTGCCTGCCGGAGGTGCTGAAGCAGATGTTGGCAGGTGTTTGAGGCCTGACAGATACTCAGGCCCCAAACCCAGACTTGGGTTTCAGGGCTTCTCAGCCTCAGTGCTGTTGACCCTTGGGACCCCGGTCATTCTCTGAAGTGAGGCCGTCCTGTGCACTGTGGGATTTCGAGCAGCATCCCTGGCCTTTGGCCGCCAGGTGTCAGGAGCACCCCCACTGCAGCTGTGACAGCCAGGGATGTCTTGTGACACAGGCAGGTGTCCCCTTGGCTGCCAGCATCATGCCAGCCTCCCTTCTTTAGCCATTTTCCCTGGACTTGCCTATTTAAAGATTACAACGGTAATGTATGCTTGTTGCAAAATGTGCAAATTATACAGAATTTGTAAGGCAAAATGCCCCCCAGTTGAAGCTTCTTCTCCAGAGGCAACCTCTTCTGACCATTTAGCATGTATATGCCAGACTTTTTTCCCATGTGCATCTGTTTGTTGTAAAGATGCTGTCGTGCCGTATACATATTATTCTGTAGTTTGTTTTTAAAAACATTTTATTGAGATCTAATTCAGGTACCATACAATTTGCCCTTTTAAAGTGTACAGTGATATTTACCAGATAGATGATGGTCCTTTGACTTAGGATGGTTTGACTTTGATTTTTCAACTTTACGATGGCACTAATGTGATAACACATTCGGTAGAAACTGTACTTCGAATTTTGAATTTGCATCTTCCGCTGGGCTAGTGATCTGTAGCATGGTCCTTCCTGGGGATGCGGGGGCAGGAGCCGAAGCTCCCCGTCAGCCACGCGCTCACGAGGGTAAACGACCGACAGACTGACCGCCATCCCGTTTTTCTCTTTCAGTACGGTATTCACTATGTTACATGAGATACTGCTCAGCGCTTCATTATGAAATGCGCTCTGTGGGAGGCGATTTTGCCCAACTGTAGGCTGATGTAAGTGTTCCGAGCACGTTTTAAGTTCTTCAGGGTGTGTTAGTGCATTTTCGACTTCTGATAATTTCACCTTACGAGGGGCTTCTCAAGCTGTAACCCTGTCGTAAGTTGAAGAAGGTCTGTATTCAGAGTTGTGCAGCCATCACCACCATCTGATTTCATCAGCCCCAGAGGAGACGCTGTGCCCACCACCAGTCCCTCAGCCCCCGGCAGCCGTTCGTCTGCTTTCTGTCATTTTGGATTTGCCTGTTGGGGACATGTCACATAAACAGAATCAGAGTATGTGACCTTTTTTTGTGACTGGCTTCTGTCCCTTAACACCGTGTCTTCATCCATGTCGTAGCAGGCGTCAGTACCTTGTTTCTTCCTGTGGTTCATAACACTCCCCTGTGTGGTTGGACCACGTTTTGTTTATCTGTCCATCAGTGGGTGGGCATTCAGGTTGTCTCCAGCTTTGGGTTGTTAATGGACATGCTGTACAAATTTTTGTGTGGATGTATTCATTTCTCTTGGCTATGGTTTGCTTTTTAATTTAATTTATTTTTGGGGCACCTAGGTGGGTGGCTCAGTTGGTTAAGCATCTGTCTTCAGCTCAGGTCATGATCCCAGGATCGTCGGGCTCTCTGCTCCTCGGGACGGCTGCTTCTCCCTCTGGCCTCTGTCCCTACCCACTGTTCATGCTCGCTCACTCTCTATCAAATAAAATCTTTAAAAAAAAAATTTATTTTTTTAAAACTATTTATTTTATTTTTTTTTAAAGATTTTATTTATTTATTTGACAGAGAGATAGAGCGAGAGAGGGAGAACACAAGCAGGGGGAGTGGGAGAGGGAGAAGCAGGCTTCCCGCCGAGCAGGGAGCCCGATGCAGGGCTCCATCCCAGGACCCTGGGATCATGACTTGAGCCGAAGGCAGACGCTTAACGACTGAGCCACCCAGGTGCCCTATTTTATTTTTTTAAAGAATTTTTTATTTATTCATTTGAGATAGAGAGAGCAGGAGCAGTGGGGAGAGGCAGAGGGAGAGGGAGAAGCAGGCTTCCCGCAGAGCAGGGAGCCAGATGCGGGGCTCGATCTCAGGACCCTGGGATCATGACCTGAGCCGAAGGCAGACACTTAACGACTGAGCCACCCAGGCGCCCCTAAAACAATTTATTTTAGCAAAAGGGGGCAGGGGGAGGAGCAGAGGGAGAGGGAGAGGGAGAGAAGCAGACTCCCTGCTGAGCGCAGGGCCCAGCACAGGACTAGACCTCAGGACCGGACCTCAGGACCCCGAGATCATGACCTGAACTGAAATCATGAGTTAGCCGCTCAACCGACTGAGCCACCCAGCCCCGCTTTAATTTTATTTTTTTAAGACTTTTTTTTTTTTAAAGATTTTGTTTATTTTTTTGTCAGAGACAGCACACGCACAAGCAGAGGCAGCGGCAGAGAGAGGGAGAAGCAGACTCCCCGCCAAGCAGGGAGCCCGATGCGGGGCTCGATCCCAGGACCCTGGGCTCATGACCTGAGCTGAAGGCAGACACTTAACTGACTGAGCCACCCAGGGGTCCCAAGACTTTTTTATAGTAGTTTCAGGTTCACAGCACAATTAAGAGGAAGGCATGGAGATTTCCCGTATCCCCCCATTCCCACACATGCGTAACTTTACTGAATCATATTGTAGACATCTTGGAGATGGCCTGGTGGCTGGAGTGGCTTCTTTGCTGGGTTTCCCTACCAAACCCCTCATGGCTTCCATTTATTTTCGTGAGAGCCACGTCCCCCTCCTCTTCCGTCCTTTGCCTTTTCTCTATTTCTCAGTGTCCGTCTGGCCCGGGGCTTGCAGAGACCCTTCTCTGGACGCCCCTCTGGGGCAGGAGAGCCCAAGGTACCATGGGGCGAGGCCCCCACCCGTGCTTGCGTCGGGGAAGAGCGGGGCCTGGGCTGGAGAGCCCGGTGTGGCTCCGGCCAGTACTAGCTCTTCCTCCAGACCTGGGCAGCCGCTCTTCCCGAAGAAAAGCCTCTCTTCCTGCATTAAAAATAAATATTCCCCTCAGACTGTGGGGTGGGCGCAAGTCGCTGTCCTCCCCCAGCGTACTTAGCTCCAGGGAGTGAGTCGGGTGCGGGGTGTTTTAAGGGAGATGGTCCTCACCCCCTGAGCCCTGCAGCCCCTGGTGCCCCGGTGTGACGTGGCTGTGGCGCCAGCTTCAGAGGCACAGGCCACGTAACCGGCTGGCAGGTGGGGGTGGCAGCTCCCTGTGTGGAGGCTTGTCATGGCTGGGCGTTCGAGGGCGGCGCGGTGCCGGGCCCTGGTGCCAGGGAGAGCTGGGGTCCCGTGTCCCTTCATTTCTGTCGCGCTCCCCTGGCCTCAGCCTGGGCCGGCCAGGGCGGGTCTTCTCTCAGGCCTTGCCGAGTCTGTTTAAGGAATACCGAGCGTCGGCCGCTGCCCTGGGCTCCGTGGCCGTGGTCGCCGGGTGAATGTTAGCAGGAGACGCCAGCAGACCCTGCCGCCACAGAGCCTTTGGACGGAGTCTGTGTCAGGACGGTTTTGGTTGAGCAGCCGAAACACATCTCAGTATGACTTAAGAAATGAAGACCGAGGTCTGTCCATTGTGAGCCCCGTGTGCCCGCGAGACCGGAGAGCAGGGCTCGGGTCACTGACTGCTGGTGGAGCCACCGCGCAGGCCTCCCCAGACCAGGACCAGCGAAACACGACTGGTGCTGAGGCTGCACTCAGTGTGCAAGGAAGAAAGAAAATGCCAGTCACTCGTGGCTTCTCAGAGCCCTGAGCTTGTTGTTAACCGACCCCTGCCCCACAGCAGCACCAGGGATTCTATTCCAGAAACTGACCGGACACGCAGGGGCAAGTGGGCTGCGTGCACAAAGCTCTGCTCCCCATCGGGCTCTTACTTGAACCCTCCACTTCCTGGGCTTGATTACAGCCCTTGGAAAGGCAGTGCCTGCACATCACCCAGTGTCCACGTCACCAGGGTAACTGTAGAATGGTCACGGCAGGATGGCCCCCTGTGCTCTGACTGAGGGTGGGGAGGGCAGAAATAAGCTTGCAGAGGGGTAGCTGTGGATGACTTGTACCTCCTGTCTCAGGTGATCTCTACCACCCTCCATGAGTCACCCCAGAGTAAGGCAGGCCTTGCAGAGAGGGGCCCTTCCCTCTTCAAAGTCTGGATTTCTGTGGTACAGCCCTCTACCCTGAGGCTACAGCGAGCATGAGCCCTGGCTGGGTCCTGGGGGGCCTGAACACGCCCTCCACCTCCCCCCATGCAGCTAGTGTGCACATGGGTTCCAGAGTCCTGCGTGCCTGGGAGTCCATGCCCTGTGTCTCTCCGTGAGGCCCTCCTGGGCCACATTCCTCCTTAGCTCCTGCTGCCTGAACATGCCAAGCTCTGCATGGCTGGTGCTCACTGCGTGTTTTCTCAGCCCCCACGCGCACCAAGCACAGCTTTTATCCCTGTTTTACAGACGGGGAAACTGAAGCTCAGGTGGTGGAGCCAGCCTTGATCCCAGTACCTGGTCCCTCCCAGTCCCGCCCCCCACTGGCAGTCTGGGACCCACAGGCACCTTCTGGGCCTCCCTTTGCAGCCCTTCCTGGGGTGTTCTCAGCTGGTCGCGTCTGTCCTGTGGGACCTGGCCTGTGACCCCCGCTGCTGAGCAGATGTGGAGACCATGCCTAGGTAGATGTGTGTGGGGAGGAGAGTGGCCTTTGGCCAGGGAGCAGCCAGGAGCCACGCAGCCAGCTGTGTGCCATATTGTGGCCACTTTCCTTCTGCCCTTGGTCGGAGCAAGCCAGGCACTTTTTTACGACGCTGAACACAGGGTCCCCTGGGGCTCAGACCGATGCTGTCCATTGGTGTGCGTGGCAGCCCGAAGGGGGACAGCCCCGGTGTCCCTTAGCAGGCGAATGGGTGAGCCGGGTCTGGCTGTGCAGCAGAGGAGTACTCAGTCCAGGGAGGAAGCACTGATGTGTGCGGCGAACCTCGAAAACGTGGTGCACAGTGAACAAGCCAGACGGGAAAGATACGTGCTGTGAGGTCCCACTTCCGTGAAATGTGCAGACCAGGCAAATCCATGGACATCAAGTGGCGTGGGGCTTAGCCGGTGGGGAGGGTGTGTGGTCATGGGGACAGGGTTCCTGTTGGGACGATGAGTGTGCTCTGGAAATGGATGGTGGTGGTGGTTAACATGGCCTTACAGATGCACTTAGTGCTACTGAGTTACACAGATTTGCCATTTTAATCATTTTTGTCGATTTTGCCAAAAGGGAAAAAGAGGTGCAGCCAGCTGTCTGTCTTCTCTCGCCATTTTGTCTGACTTTGTGAGCTCCACTGCGGCGCCATCCTGCTCACTGCGCCTCCTCCCTCCAGCTCAGTCTGACTGTTCTCGCCTCCTTTTCTCCTCAGTTGAACTTTGACCTGGACCGGGGCGTGTTTCCAGTGGTCATCCAGGCCGTGGTGGATGAAGGAGACGGTGAGCGGCCTTTCCTCGTCCATCTCCCTTTCGGGCTGTGGGCCCTTCTCACCTCAGTCAGCAGGGAGTAGTTTATTCCAGAAGTGGTGAAAGACAGCTCAGTCCACTCAGCACATTTAGGGCCATGGGGTTCAAGCCCTGAGCTGGGCTGCGGGGCCCCCTCTTGAGCTCCTTCTCCCAACTCAGCTCCTTCCCACCGACTCACCACCGCGGTGACAGCAGCTAGCCAGGCCTCGGCTTGTGGCGTCCACGCTCAGCAGGATAACGAGAGACAGCAGAGAAAGTGCAGAGCAGGGTGGGCCCCGTGCTGGGGGCTGTCAGCGCGTCAGGCCACGCTGATTGGCTGACCGGCCTTCTTCCTTCTGCCGGTCTTGCTGGGTCTCTCCCGTGCCACTGCTGTGGGCTGTGGTCCCCCAGCCTAGAGCATGGGCCCCCCCTACACCCCGCCTCCCCGGCTGAGTCCTGGCTTCTTGGCCCTGTCGGAATGTTCCTCCATGCAGAGCCAGCAGGCAGCACGTGGAGGCGCGTTGGAGGAGGTATGGCCAGTGGGAGCAGCGGGCCCCCCAGACAGAGGAAGGCACGATGGGGACGCTCCTCCTGTGGGTTTGGGCTCTCCAGCTGAGAGCCTAGGGAAGCTGCAGCTCAGAAGGAGAAGTTCAGGGTAGGGGGCAGAGGAGGGGTTGAGGCCAGCTCTGACCACTCCCTCCTCTCTCTCCCGGGCAGTTGTGGAAGTGACTGGCCACGCCCACGTGCTCTTGGCCGCCTTTGAAAAGGTAAGTGCCATCCTGCCCCTGCCTGTGCCCGTGACCAGGGAGCGTGGGTGTTTTGAGACTAGAAGTCTGAACTTGGGGTCTGGGCTTGGCCAGATGGGCCTAGTGCCAGAGGTTCAGGGCAGGTGGGAGGCACTCCAATTACTCTGGGCTCCAGGAGGCCGGGCCTCAAGACAGCATCACCTTTGGAAGGGTTTTCAAAGGGCATCTAGTGTGTGGTGAGGGGCCGTGTTCTAGGGAGGCCAGCTGTTTGGAGCTCCCTATAACCTGCCAGCACAGGGGCCCAGACACCCATGTGGAGGGCTCTCATCACAGACCAGCTTTTCTCTGGGATGTGGACAGATCATCCAGGGTGTCACCTCTCAGGACCCCTGCCTTTCCCACCAGGCCCATTGGAGCCTCTCAGCCTGGCCTGGTCCTCACATGCATGCTCTGCCCTGCCTCCAGGTGGCTTTGTCACCCGGTCCCACAGGCCTGCGTTGACCTCACTCCCCACTGGGCCCTTTCAGACTTCCGGGACAGACATTTGTGGTATTTACTCTTCTGATGTCCATGAGGGCAGAACTGGGCCCCTTGTTTGTTGTGTCCTTGGCATGCAGTAGATGCTCAGTGAATGCTGGTGGGGTTGTTGAGGGTCTGCCACCTGTCTAGCACGGCCCTAGACCCTCTGTGGTGCAAAAAGAAAACATCCAGGCCCTCCTGGAGTCCCTGAGTTGCGGGTGCCTCTCATACAAAGAGGCCATTTACATGCAAGGATTCACTTAATACTACTTTTGGCCTGATGCATATTTGAACTTAGATGTTTGCCCATTTCTTCCATGCAGATCCCAGTCCCCAGTCTCCCCAGCTGTTCATGTTTTGTGGCCACGTTATGTAGGGTGCAGTGGGGAGAGAATGGTCAGCCTCACCATCGTCTCTGCGTTAGGGTGTCGTGGGGTCTAGGGACGGTCCCAGTTACCAGTCACTGCTGTTCATGGGGGCCAGGCTGTTGTGTGTGTGTTAATGCAGGAGGGAAGAAATCCCTGCTCACGGAGACCCTTGCTGGAGGTAGTGGGGTGTGTCCCTTGTTGGAGAATGTCATGTCTGATGGCCCCTTCCCCCCAGGGCTCTTTGACAGTGGCCTGGACTCTGCAGTTGTAAAGTGGTTCCGGCATCAGCCTGTGGCCTGGGTGGACAAGGATCAGGGACGCCTCCCATGAGGAAACCAGGCTCGGGCTGCTTTTCTGGACTTTGCACCACACATGGGCATCCTGCTGATGCTTCCTTAGCCCGGTGTGTGCCTGCAGCCTTGAGAGCGTTGAGGGCAGCGCCCAGCTCCTCCCTGTGATCTGGGTCTTTCCAGACTCCCCGGGGAGTTAGGACAGCTGGGCCCAAGGACCCTGTGGCCCATTTGTCGTGTGCTCCCCCTGGCCCCTGGGGCTGTGGTGGCACGGAGCGCCCAGGGCAGAAGGTGGGCCTCTCCCTCGCCGGCTGCACTGCCCAAGCCCGGCCTTGTCAGAAGAGATGGTAACTGTTTGCTGTGTGCTTCTCTGGTGAGGTGGGTGGGCCATCGACGGCAGACTCCACCTGCACTTCCGGTTTAGAGCCCAGTGAGAAACTGCTTTATATTTGGAATCCATCATACTGAAAATGCTGAGCGCTGGAATCATTTGATTCCGAGGAGTAAATGGCGTTGTCACAAGATCTCAGATCTCATACCTTCATTAACCTCGAACTCTGGGCGGTGTGTCTCCCCAGATGACACCAAACACATTTTCCCTCTTTAGTTGTTAGAGTTTTTAGGATTTTGGGCTTTCCCGTGTAAATATGCGTGTATATGTTTGTCTTCTCAACAAAGCCAAGCCCTTTTGGGGTCAGAAGTGGGCCGTGTGAGTTCTTGCCATCCAGGTGCTGCTGCTTGCTGTTGGGGGGCTCTGCTCTGTTGTCAGAACTTGCCCGATGGTTGTAAGCCTGAGTGTGCTTGGGCACTACCCAGAGAGTTGGGTGGACCCAGGAGGCAGTCCTCCAGGTAGCTTCGAGGCCCAGTCAGAGGGCCACATTTGGAGAGACCTGGCCGGGCTCCGTCCTTCAGCCATGGATGTGGAATGGCTGAGGAAGGGCCTTCAGCTTGCCGGCGGGAGTGCTAAGTGATACCAGCTTGACTGAGTTCACCTTTGTCTTTCTTCCCTGTAGCATGTTGACGGCAGCTTCTCTGTGAAACCTTTAAAGCAGAAGCAAATTGTAAGTCTGGTAGAAGAAATATTGTGGCCCCTTTTGATTTAAAAGACACACACACACACACACACACACACACACTAAGTCTGGTAGAAGAAATATTGTGGCCCCTTTTGATTTAAAAGACACACACACACACACACACACACACACACAGTCTCACTCTGCAGAGTCATCGTCTGGGCTCTGGGAAATCCGGCTCTGCCTCCTCAGGTGCATGTGTGTGCCCATCGTGTCCCAGTATTGACTCGTAGCCCCAAGTCTTGTCCAGCTTGATAAGGAGTGTTTGCGTCCATAGGGCTATGGGGGAAATGCAGCGACTCAGACCACTTCTGAACATGGTCAGTGTGAGGTCTGACTCTGGTCACTCTTGTGCGGCTAGTGACTGGGGGTCCAAAGTGGTTTTTCTCTGGGGAAGGGGATGGTAAGGTGGGCATGGGGTACGGTTGCCTGGCCCGTATAGAGGTTGGCTCCATGCCCCCTGGTGGGCAGAACCACCGGACTCTCCCCCCCCGCCCCGACTGCCCGTGCTCCTGGGTAGGCTGGGCAGGTAGCAGGTTCTCTGCCCTTCTCCTGGCACTGGGCCCACTCCCTGAGAGGCAGGTGGACAGATTTTCAAACCACACCTGCTCTAGGACCTGAGCCTGGCCCCTGGAAGGTGGTGTTGGGCCATGTGGGTACAGTGGAGCCCTTAAGTGGGGGCTGGCAAGTGCCCAGATTCCTCTCCGTTCTCCAGGTGGACCGGGTCAGCTACCTGCTGCAGGAGATCTACGGCATCGAGAACAAGAACAACCAGGAGACAAAGGTATGTGCTTGTGGTGATATCTGCTGGGACTGCAGGAGGAGCTCACTCCCCAGCTTCCCTTCCACCTACACGGAAACAGGCTCCTGGAGGGGCTTGTCTGGGTCCCCCAGCCCTGGCCAGGGCCCCCTGGGCTGGTGGTAAATGAGTTAGTCCCTGTGTGTGCCTTCCCTGGGAGGCCCTGCGACCCCAGACTCCCATTTTTCCATAATTTTTTATTTTATTTTATTTTTATTTATTTTTTTAAAGATTTTATTTATTTGAGAGAGAGAGAGAGCGTGATCACGAGCAGGGGGGAAGGGCAGAGGGAGAAGCAGGCTCCCCACTGAGCAGGGAGCCCGAGGTGGGACTCAGTCCCAGGATCCTGGGATCATCACCTGAGCTGAAGGCAGATGCCCAACTGATTGAGTCACTCGGGCGCCCATTTTTCCTTAATTTTTTAAAGGAGTTAATAGGGAGGGGCGCCTGGCTAGCTGGGTCGGTGAGCATGCGGCTCTTGATCTCAGGGTTGTAGGTTCGAGCCCCACGTTGGGTGTAGAGATGACTTAAAAATAATAAGAGTAATGAATGAATAAATAGAAGAGTTAACAGAATCTGCGGGCATTTTGTTCTTTTTCCAGCAAATTCCCTGACTTGTTAACGTCATTGGGTTGCTAGCCGTCGGGTGGGCAGGGACAGCCTGGCGTGTGGGGCCCCTTTGCACCCCCTCAGGGGAGCCTGCGCTGCCCCCGCCAGTCGGCCCCCCCCCCCCCCGCCCAGTCACAAGCCCTCTGTGCGCCTGTAGCCAGAGCGCGTGGTTGACGGAGCTCTGGTCTGGCCCGGCCAGGGAAGGGTGGTAGAGAATCAGCCTGTACCTTTGTCATCGTTTGAAAGGCACGAGGGAAACTACCATCTCTTTTTAAACGTTTCTGGAAGTTTCTGGAATGTCTTACACATGAGCTTCTGTGACAGCTGAGACCGGCTGAAAGCTGAAGTCAGGGCAGTTTGGTCAGGCCCTTATTCTCGAACGAGCGCCCCCGGTGTGCTTCCTGCGTTAACACCACAGGTGGGCCGGCTGCCCCTAAACGGCCTGGGAGTGCGTGTCTTCGCCTTGACTGGCCGTCTGTCCGATCTGTTCCGTGCCCTGATTTCACAGAAGATGCACAAGCAGCATAGCTGTTCCGAAGCGCGGGGGCAAGGCCGGGCCCCCGTCAAACCTGATTTACAGAAGCTGGTGGTGGGGCCGTTGTTCGCTGACTCTTGATCCAGATACTAGTTTTGATTAGACAAGTTAGACTTGTCTGATTTTTTTCAGTTTCAGCCCTGTAAGTGGGCGCCCTCTGCAAGACATGCTCCGTACTGTTGGGTCGTTTCCACGTTTTCTCTGTGGTTCTGAGGCATGGAACGAGACCCGAGTTTCTTGGTTTGGAGAGTGTGTTGGGGGTGGGGCATAGATCCTCTTCTCTGTCTGGGGGCCGGCGCAGGCTGGGCCAGCTCTGGGCCGCATCTCCCGAGGAGTCCTGCTCCACGGTGATCTTCCTCCGCCCTCTTGGGCTTCCCTCTGGGGAAGTGGGGGACAGCCGGTGGGGCGGCCGGGGACGGGAACAGCTCCCTGCTCCGCCCCCCGTCCTGGCCCCTGCCTGCGGCCCTTGGGAGCCGCCGACGCTTGTCCCTCGGTGTCCCCACAGCCCTCGGACGAGGAGAACAGCGACAACAGCAGCGAGTGTGTGGTGTGCCTGTCGGACCTGCGGGACACGCTGATCCTGCCCTGCAGGCACCTGTGCTTGTGTAACTCATGTGCAGACACACTGCGCTACCAGGCCAGCAACTGCCCCATCTGCCGGCTGCGTGAGTGGGGGGGCCGGGGGGCCGGGGGCTGTCGGCCGCCCACCCTGGGCACAGGTGGTTGGGACCCACGGTGACCGCGCAGGCACATGCGTGGCTCTCATCCTCTGAAAATTAGACTTCGGGAGTTAACGGCTGGAAGGCTGTGCCAGGGCAGGTGCCTGCAGTGAAATTGGAACCGGACAGATAGATGTTGGTAGTGACTCAAGTTTTTAAGTGTTACGTGGAAAATGTCTGTTAAATACCAGACTTGGTGACGTGGAAAGCTGACTGAGGAGGGATAGGCTTCCTGGAGCACTGCAGACGTTTTCTCAAAGCTAATTCTGAATCAAGTGTTTGTCCTCCAGTGGAGGAATCTAAACATTCTCAGGGCAGAAAATCCCACTGGATCAAAATGAGCATCAAGCTGGCGGGTGGGTCCCGGCAGCAAGGGAGCCCAGGGTGTGGGTGAGGAGTGAGGACGGCTTTTTGTAGAAAGCCTTCCTGCCCTTTCACCTCAGTGTGCTGGTCGGCCTCCTTGGGGTCTCCTGGGGCACTCGTGCCTCACCCCGCGCCCCCGAGGCAGCACGCAGCCCTGCGGCCCCAACTGCCATGCCTGTCTTGTCACTGTCTTGGGGCTCACAGCCTGGTAAGGCGCAGGGGTGGGTCTACACCTGTTGTCCCCCTGGGATAGACAGGTGTGTGCGGAGGCCACAGGGCAGGCCGAGCGTGTGGAAGTAGAGGATGAGGCTGTGGGGTCTGGGGGTCCAGAGTCCAGCCCTGATGAGACCTCAGGGGTTGGTGGGGGAGGCTGCAGGGGGCTGGTGTGCTGGCCCTGGAGGGTCAGGCAGCAGGGCCAGTAGCCCCTCCTGTGGGAGGAATAGGCTAGGAGCAGGGGAGTGGGGGGGCCGAAGGCCAGCCTCCCCCACGGGCCCTGGCTCCTGGGCATTCTCGGCCACGGCCTGGTGTGGAGGCCCCGGGGGGCCCTTGTCTCTGAGGCCTGCAGCCTGGGGCAGCCGCTGTCAGCGCTAGGGACATGGGTGCCCCTGGCAGGTGCTGGTACGGTGTGCAGCTGTGGACCGTGTGTGCAACCTGCATTTTTCGTCAACGTTACACTCCTGTTAGGGGACCTGACGGTCCAGGACGACCAGTAGCCTGCGTCCTGATTTATTTTCCCAGTTCTCGCTGCTGCTGGTTTTCCAGTGTAGAGATTGTGCTGTCGGACGTTCACATACGTGCGTCTGCCTGCCCTTGGTATGACTTCAGGAGGAGACTGGCCAGTGTCCGGGGCACACCTTATGCTTTTAGCTGGTCGCCAGGTGTGACGCAGATGCACTGTTGCATGTATAATCCAGGGTTTGGCCTGTGGGAGGCTGGTGGCACCCTGCTTGTTGCCCCAGAAGCTCCGCCTGAACCAGGGCCGTGCACTCCTGGCCTCATCTGTCTCTCTTCCAGGCCACTCTGTTGTGACTCTGTTTTGCCTCTGATTTGGAAACGTGGCTTGTTCTAGGACCTCTGTGTGGTGGGTGGGTGGCCAGTGTCCCTGGAGCCCAGAGGGCCTCAGTGGTGCTGGAACTGGCTGCCCCTTGCCTCATGTGAGCCCTTCCCTCTGCCACAGCCTTCCGGGCCCTTCTGCAGATCCGGGCGGTGAGGAAGAAGCCGGGAGCCCTGTCCCCTGTTTCCTTCAGCCCTGTTCTGGCCCAGAACATGGACCACGACGAGCATTCAGTAAGTGCCTTTTTCTTCTGTGTTGGGGGCTGTGGGGCAGAGAGAGGAAGGGGTCTGGAGGAAGCCCCTGCCCACTTCCAGAGCCCATCAGATGTCCACATGCCCTCAGGGCTTACCTTTGTGGTAGGACGGCTTCAGGTTCCCAGTGGGGCTGTGTCATGAGGCCCTGGTCGGTGGCCAGAAGGAAGGGCAGGGCCAGACTGCCTCTCTCTGCCTGCCAGCTCCATGGGCCTCCTGTGCCTGGTGGGCCAGTGCTGGTCCCCACAGGTGGTGGTGAGGTGGAAGGGGTGACCCAGGCTGGGCCCAGTGAGCCCTGGGTCCCAAGAGTGTTGTTGTTTTCGCCAAGAGCAAGGGCCATCTGACAGCACGCAACCCTGCCTTGAGTGTGAGTGTCTGTCACCGTCACCGTCATTCTACCAGCCAGACAGCCAGGGCCACTGCATGGGTCCTAGAGGGTGAGGTCTCGCCCAGCGGGCAGCTGCCACATGTCCCCCCAACGTTCTCTGCCCACCTGGAGGTGGTGCCCATCCTGGACACAGGAGGGCACCTTGGCAGCCATCCACCTCATTAGCTTCCTGGGAAACCGGCAGGTAGAGCTTTCAGGCAGATAAGGGAAGACGGGCTCAGGCTTTGGGGAGAGAGATGGCTCTCTGGCTGAAGAGAGACGGAGAGAGACGGAGAGACCCAGAAAGATAGGCAGAGACAGAGAAAGGCATGGAGAGAGATGGGCAGAGACATGGAGAGAGACACAGACGGGGATGAAAGTAGAAAAGCAGGTACTGAGACACTGGCAGAGAGACAGGACGAGACAGGGATGGGGCAGGAAGGGGAGGCTGGCGTGGGCGGGTGGGGCGGGCGGGGGTAGGCCCAGGTCTTGAGCTCCTAGGCCCCAGCCGGCCACAGCGGTTGTCAGCCAGTGGATCCGTTGTTGGGACTCAGCGATTCTTAGAGGAAAAGGACCCAAACCCTGTGGTTCGCGCACCCACAAGATGGGCTTCTGCGCTGGGCCAGTGGGTGTGATGTGTTTGGCCTCTACGGTGATTCTGAATATTGGACCAGCAGTGTTTAAAAGTCTGGACATTTTCCTTAAGACTCAGATTTCTGGCTTCTCTTTCGAAATTTGAAGCTGTGGTCTCGCAGCTGGAGCAGACACAAGGCTGCCTCGGAGGTGGGGTCCCCATCACCCCCACTCTTCCTGGGCCAGCCAGACTGAGTGTTTTGCCTGCTGGACCCCTGTCGGCATCAGGGCTTACTACTTCCGAAACAGCCCTCCAGTGACTTTAATGTTGGGCTTGACTTAGGAACACTGAATATTTTCCCCAGCAATGCAATTTTAGTAGAGATTGGAGTAGCCCTGAGATGTGATTTGTTCCTGGGAGAGAAGTCACTGTTCCGAGGGATGGGGGCTCGGGGATGGATGGTGGATTTTCTTGTTGCTTGTCTGTGCCCCTCCCAGGCCCTGCCCTGGAGTCTGAGCATCCGGCCTGACTTTCACTCTTACTCTGAGAGAGCCAAGATGCTGCTCACACTACTAGGCACACTGGGGTTTGGGTTGTAAGCTTCACATGCTCCGGTGACTTCCCCTCCAGAGGGTAAAGATAGCCAAATAAACGGGCTCTTGTTCTCTGCCACATCCCCTGTACGAGCAATTTCCACGTAGTGCCACAGAGAACCCAGATTTTCTTCCATGAGACCATTACGATCATTGAGGAGTGGGGGTGATCTGAGGTTGATTTTTCTCCCCAGCTTCCTCTAGGAGTTGGACATTGGTAATAAGTTTATGAGGCAGTGCTGAGCCTCATAGAGGTATGGGGTGGAGTGTCCCCTTCCTCTGCTCAGCTGGGCCCCCTTGTGGGGAGCGCCTGGCCAACCTCATACCTGTGCTGGCCAGGACTTGCTTCTCGGGGTGATCCAGACCGCGGGTGGGCAGGGGGACAGGGATGGGCTCTCCCAACGGCAGAACTCCTGGGAGTTGTGTAGATGTCCAGGCCTAGGTCCCTCCAGAATCTGTACTTGGCCAGGTCCCCGGACTTCACGTGCAGGTTACATTTGCCAAGCACAGGCTCACAGCACACCTAGAGACCAGCAAACCTGAGAGAGGCACCCCCCTCAGCCCGCCAGCTCCAGTGCCGTTTGGGGGGTGGCAGTTGTAAAACGTATGATTTTTATCTTGACAGTGTCCCTTTAAAAAATCAAAGGCGCACCCCGCCTCACTGGCCAGCAAGAAACCTAAAAGGGAAACAGTAAGTGTGTTTGGCCCTATGGCCACATCTTTGCCCTGCACCCTAATGATTCAACCAATGACAAGTATGGGAAGTCATTTTCACCCCAGGCTAACGTGTTTGGCTAATTTAATCTGTCCAATCCACTCTCCCCAGTCCCGGCGTCCCTGCCCAGGAAGGGAGTTTTGTGGAACAAGCAAAGCTCAAGGTCTGTCGGCAAAAAGCCAGTGTCTCGGCTCCCCGCTGCCAAGCGGCAGCAGCACCGGCCTCGGGCCGCCCCTTCTCGCCAGCTCTGCTTCTGCCCGTGGTCCCCAGTGGCCTCGTTTCCCTTTTTTTTCTTGCTGGCAGTGGAATGACGTTGGAGGTGGAGCTCCCTTGCTGCTAGTTTTTGCAAAAACCGTCTTCCCTCGCGCTTGCTGCTTGTCCCGCACCCCCTGCTCTCTCCCCCTTGGATGGTAGCTCTTTGGGCCAAGGACTTGGTATTCTGGCATTTTCCCTGCATCTTGGGGAGCAGGTGGGGACCTCTGCCTGGAGCCTCTCCTGAACCCCGTGGCCCCTTGGCAGAACTTAGGTGGAAGTCCCTGGAGGCCCAACCCAGAGGTAGAGGTTTTTCCTGTTTGGAGGGCAAGGAGGTTCACAGTAATTACTGGCCTTTAAGTGGAAGGCAAGTTGGGAGCAAATGCAGGGCACCACGGGTCCAGGGGCCCAGGGGACTCAGGAGGTGCTCGCTGAGGGCAGGGAACCCATACCCTGGCCCTTCTGCCTTCCCCTGGTCCACAGGGTTGTCCCATCGTCGCCCAGAAAGGCAGCTCTCCCTTCCTCCCGGCAGAGCAGTCAAGCGGGCGGGGGCTTCACACTGGGAGCACCGGTGGGCATTTGCCCTTGGCCTTGTGTAGTGAGAGCGAGGCAGGTGGCTGTCCCACCTGCACAGCGGCCTGGGGGCCTAACATCTCCCGGCACCTGGGCATCTCCCCACCCTATCCCTAAAGCAAGACTCAGTCAGTCTGTTGATTTGCTTCACTCCCAGCCAGGGGGAAGACTGGTTCTGAACCAGGGGTGCCCATTAAAACCACCTGGAACACGCGTCACCTCCAGTGGACGCGTGTTCCAGGCACACAGGATCTCGAGTTGGGCCAGATGCCTGTATGGGGCAAAGCTCCCTGCGGGGCCAGGCCCTCCCTGGTCTAGAACACATGCGGCTCCACTGGCCTCTCCCGCCTTTGGCATGGCTTTGCTCTCCACCTGCTCCTGAGCCTCCTTGCTCTCTCTGATCCCTCATTCTCCACCCTTGCCAGGCAGGAACAGAAAGCCAGGTAGGGGCTGGCCGAGACCGGGGGTGGGGAGGCTCTTTTGGCTGCCCTGTCTTCCTTCGTCTGGGGTACAGAGCGGGCCACTCGGGCATCCCAGGCTGCGTGCTGCAGCTGATGGCCAAGGGAGCCCTGGGGGGGGTGTCTGATGCTGCTGTGGTGTTCTTGGCACCCCTCTGAGGGAGGGTAATTTAGGTCCCTGGAAGGTGGAGTGGACAAGAGATGGCCAGAAGGCAGGTTCTGGGGAGTAGAACATCCCTGGGGCACAAGGCCAGCGTCTGGGGCTTTGTGGCCCAGGGTGCTGGGCAGGGAGTGTGGCCAGCCCGTCCCTTACCCGCTTTTGTCCCCACAGAGCTCTGACAGCATCCCACCTGGCTATGAGCCCATCTCCCTGCTTGAGGCGCTCAACGGCCTTCGGGCCATCTCCCCGGCCATCCCTTCAGCCCCCCTTTATGAAGAGATCACCTACTCAGGCGTCTCGGATGGCCTGTCCCAGGCCAGCTGTCCACTCTCTGGGATCGATAGAATCCTGGAAAGCAGCCACCAGAAGGGCAAGCCGAGGAGCAAATCCCCTGACAGGTGAGGCTGGTGCCAGGATTCCCTTTGGGGGCTGGTATGTGGGAACCCAGCCACCTGTTCTGTGGCAGGGGTCAGGGAAACATGCGGTATCATGAAAGAAGTGCAAAGCAGGGGGCCGCCTGGGTGGCTCAATTAGTTCATCGTCTTGACTTCGGCTCAGGTAGTGATATCGGGATCCTGGGATTGGGTTCCACGCTCAGCGAGGAGTCTGCTTTGAGATTCTGTCTTGCTCTCCCCTCCCTCTGCCCATCCCCCTGCTTGAATGCACGCTCTCTCTCACTCTAAATAAATAAATATTAAAAAAAAGTGCAAAGCAGGTAGTATCTGTGACTTTAGTTTAGAATGTTTTGTTGGGTGAGCCACCAGAGTGACTCGCAGAACCAGTAGCAGGTTAGGTTATGGCTAAGGCTGGTTACAGCAAAGGAGAGAGAGCAAAGCAGCCGGAAAGATGCACTGGTGGAGGCCACAGGTGCCCAGTGTCCCTCCCTGTCCCAGGCCACACAGGACACAGTGGCAGCCCCTTGAGTCTCAGGGTCCCAGGACTTTCTGGGGGCTGTCACATGGGCACATCCTGGGTGGGAGCAGCCGTGGCACCAAACCCGGGCCGCCACGAAACCAGGCGCATGTCGTTGCCCTTGTTATGCCCAACAAGCAGAGAGTCCAGTCATGCTTCCCCTGGACACATGCGAGACATAGTCTCTTCTCACACGTGCCGTTTATTTTTTTTGTTTATTTTTTAATTAAAATTCAAGTTAACGTAGAGTGTATTATCAGTTTCAGAGGTAGAGCCCAGCGATTCGTCAGTTGCGTACAACACCCAGTGCTCGTTGCATCACGGGCCCTCCTTCATGCCCGTCACCCAGTTACCCCACCCCCTCCCCCCCAGCAGCCCTCGGTTTGTTCCCTGTGATTGAGTCTCTTATGGCTTGTCTCCCTCTCTGATTTTATCTTATTTTTCCCTCCCTTCCCCTATGATCCTCTGTTTTGTTTCTTAAATTCCACACGGAAGTGAGATCAGATGATAATTGTCTTTCTTTGGCTGACTCACTTCGCTCAGCATAATACCCTCTGGTTCCATCACGTGTGCTGTTTTCTTAAGTAAAGTTGGAAGTTTTGTAAAACCAGCCACGGCCCCGGGGACTTGCACACGTGGCCGGGCCACTCCAGATCCAGAAAGAAGCGTGGGGGTCTCTCCTGCTGCCCCCGCCCCCCACTCCAGCGGTTTACCTTTGTGATGCTCTCCTCCTCCTGGAAACACAGAGGTGGGGTCGGGCCCGTGCCTCCGAGTCCGTCCTGCCGCCGGGCCTGCTGGTGGGCGCTCTGCGGGCGCACACGCCTCCCCGGGGCCCTCTGCCGGCTGTGCCGTCTCACCCACAGATGGCGTTGGCTTTTGTGGGTTGGTGTTTATCATCGACACGTCCTCCACTTCCGTCTTCTCTGTCCCCAGCACCCTGCGGTCTCCGTCATCCCCCATCCATGAAGAGGATGAGGAGAAGCGGTCCCAGGCCTCGGATGTCCCTCCCCCGCTGAGTGGGGCGGGGCTGGCACTCAGCAGCTCCCCCGAGGTGAGGCCCTTCTGTCACCCTGTCCCCATTGCCTGTGGGGGGGCCTCCAGACCGGGGGTGAGGTGTGCCTGGGCCCCCCTCCAGCACTCTCACATGGCACCCTCAGCTGGTTCCCTCATCTGTGGGCTGCATCCTGTTTCCGGGAGCGGGGCTGTGCGGGAAGTCCTGGAGTGGCGGCCGCAGCTCGCCCCGCGCCCCCTCCCCCGGCCGTGCACAGCCTGCTCCCAGCTCGCAGCTCCGGAGTTGCGGGCACACTTTGTCCTTGTTTCCTAGAGCTTCATAATGGAGGAGGCGGACGAGGTGTCAGCACTGAAGGAAGGTAAGCCCTCCGTTCGGGGAGCGTGTCCCCGGCCTCTCTGTCAGAGGCCTCCCAGGCCACTCTCGCAGGGGTTTGGCAGGGCGTGTGCCGGCTCCGCTCCTTACTGCACTGTCTCCCAGAGCACAGCCCTCGGCTGCTCCTGGTCTTCCACACATGGCCAGCTGTTCATGAGTGTCCCGTACGGGCTGCCCAGCCACCGCCTGGAGGGACCCAGGGTCCCTCTTGGGGCCGTAGGCTGGACCACCGGGTGCAGATGCACAGCTCAGCCAGGGCCCTCATCTGTGTGTCCCTGTGTCCGCGGAGCGGGCCTTGCACCTCTCTGGAGTGGAGGGTTTAGCATAGCTCAGCCTGCTGGGGCTTGAGTCCCAGCTGTCACTAACGGGCATTGACCTCCCAGTGGTTGTGGGCCTCCCTCTGCCCCCAGCATGTGGGGTCCGCCTGCAGGTTGCTGGGCCTGGGGCCTTGGGTCTGGGTGTGAGTGTTGGCGCCCAGGGCAGGGTGCCCAGTCTGGGTGTCTTCACTTCCTGGGCTCCTCCACCTCAGGATGGGCCTGACCCTCTCCCGACATCCCTTCCTTCCTGGGCGGAGCGTGTGCCCAGACCAGGTGGCTCTCCACTGTGCCCGTCCCAGGGCCCGGGTCCCCCTTCTGCCAGAGGGGACCTCCCCCTGAGGACACTCTGGGCAGCACTGGGACCTGTGCGAGAGGGGGGTGTCCACACGCACGCCCCACTAGCTCCCCACTCTGTGGCCCAGCTGGCAGGAGAAGCAGGAGACCGTTAAATCTATTACCTTCTTGTTTTTGTATAAACAGGAGTATGTAGTGTTTCTCTAATGAAAAACAAAGCCCCAGGCTGGGGTTGGGTGAGAACGATAGTAAAGAAAAGCAAATGTTGGCCTCTCAGGCCTAGAGGGCGGAGGAGGGAGTCAGGGTGGGGTCTGGCCTGCAGTGGCTGCAGAGCCCTCAGGGAGGAAAGACAGGCTCCTGGGGGTCCTGACCAGAGGGATAGTGGCCACCTTCTGCCTCTGGGCCTCTGACCTGTCCCTTCCTCTGCAGGGAGCCGAGTGCCGTCCATCGAGAACGTCTTGCAGGATGGCAGCCCTGAGCCCTGCAGCCATGGCCAGCCCCGCCTGCCGGCCGATATCTACCTACCAGGTAACGGCATTCGGCAGTGGGGGCGGGGGGCAGGTATATACTGTCACCATCCCCATGGAGCTTGCGCTGACTCTTCCCATGGAGCGAGGGATTTGGTGTGACTGCTCGGGGAGGGGCTGGCCTGTGAGGAGCCCAGGTTTCTCTCTCTGGCTCTACTCACACTCCTTTTGACCCCAAAGTACAGCCTGGCCCTGGCTCCACAGTCACCCCCCTGCAGCCCCTTGCTCTCTGGTGCAGGGCCTGTGCGTGAGGCCCCTTCACACCCGGAGCCAGCTCAGGATCTGGAAGGCAGGAAGGGCTTCTTGTTCAAGGACACAGTCCTTCTTTCCATCCGTATTCTGCTCGGAGCCCGGTAGGCAGCTCTAGCCCCGCTGGAATCTCCCACTCTTACTTCACCCATGGGCCCAGTAGGCCCTGTTCGGGTGCCCCAACAGCAGGGCCTCTGCCCCAGGGAGCTACACACAGAAAGCCACCTGCGTGCCCCAGGCATGATGCTGGCCACCAGTCCTCTGCCACCTGCCTGAGGGGCTGACGGGCACTCACAGGGCCCAGGTGATGCGGTGCATGGCAGGCCAGCGCTGGGAGGACAGGTGGGGTGCCAGGCACCTGCAAGCCCCAAGGGCAGTGGGGGAGGGGTCTTGCTTCTCTGCCCCCTGTCCCCAACTCCTCTGCTCTCTGCTCCTCTGGGTCAAGATCCTCAGCTTTAAGTGCCGGGATCCAAAGATGGGGGACAGGAGTTGAGGGCTCTCAGAGACTGGTGCCTGCTGCCTGATAAGATACCATCTGAGGGTCCAAAATCAAGATAAATAGCCACGATACCCTCAAAGTCCGGCTCGTGCCATGTGGCTAGGAAGCCCCTTGGCCCCCTGCCTGCCCCAGTTCTCGGTGACCCGACCTGTGCATCGGGCCTGGCTGTGATGTGCTTTGGTTTGGAGGTGTCTTGTCCTGCCCACCCCCACATCTGGACAAGCAGTGGCCTGTGCACACAGAGGGTCCAGTTAGCCCGGCGGGTGGCACGGTCACCAGGGGCAGGAAGGGCAGGGCAGGAAGTGCCGTCGGCACTCGTGCGCCCACCCACAGAGAAACCGTGGGTGAAAGCCATGTTCGGGACCAGCGTTCCATAGAGTAACACAGAATTCCCATAAGTTCTTTCAAGGAACTTCAAGGATTTTCTTATAATTACAAGCTTGGGGGGATGGGGAGAGCCCAGAGAGGGACTTGAGTGAGAGTTGTGATCCTGTGGGTGAAGGGACACCTTGACCCCACCCAGCAGTGCCGGCCACCTGCCCCGCGGTGTCTGCAGGTCGGGACAGGTGACACCAGGCTCTGTGGCTCACTCACCCCCCAACCCCAGGCCGGTGACGTGGCCTGCTTCATTCAGCTCCACAGATGGGGCGGGGGGGCAAGTTGGCTGTGGAGGTGGTAAAGGAGAGGCTGAAATCCGTGTTCGGGGCAGCAGAAGCCCGAATCCAGCCACGGAGCATGAGGAGCCAGCAGGGTGGGGCGATGCTGCGGCTCTGGGGCCCGCGCCGTACCGGGGTGTGCATGCTGCACGCTGTGCCCTGAGCAGCGCCGTGAGCACCCGGGGGCTGCCCCCGACGTGGGGGCCGGGCAGGGGTCCTCACAGACGCGCACACCTTTATAAGCATAGGTGTACCTGTCTTCCTTTATTCCCCGAGCCGACACCTTCTGTCCTGCTACTGGCTCTCGCTTAGCCGAGATGCTAAACATCTTTCACGTCGGGCTGTGTTCAAGAACGGGGACATGCCCACGGGTGTCTTCGATCTTTACAGAAGCTACACAGCTGTCCCCTGGAGGGACGGGCACAGTGTAGTGAAGCTTCGTGTCCATAGTGTTGATAAGGGGATGATAAGGAGGCTGGGCAAATCCATGTTGGAAAGCTAGATGTGGACAGCCCTGTGGGGTGGGGGCCCCCTGGGCGCCGCCTTCCTCGAGGTGAGCCCCACCTGCCCTGGCCCCTGCCCTGTGCATGCTTCCCTGGGCTGAGTGCCTCTGCGTTGGACTGTGGCCCAGTGCTTTGTTCTCCTTTGTTTCAGCACAGGAGTCTGTGTGGGCGTTTCGTCCGGTTCCCCCCCACCCCCCACCCCAGGGAATCTTGTCCTAAAGCAGTGCATTTGCTGCGGAATGTGCTGGTCTGTCTGAGTGCTTTGCTAACTGAGCTTCCATCTTTCTCCTCCTCTGCACAGCCCTGGGGCCTGACTCCTGCTCTGTTGGTATAGAGGAGTAAGCTGGTACGTGATCGCCTTCATCCGTGTTGTGGGGTGGCTCTGAGGGGCATCCTTGACAGTGCTGGACTGAGGACCTCCCCAGCTCCCTCTCCCTCTCCTGCTTCTTCTCTGGGGGTTCCTTGCCCTTTTCTGGGCTTCTCCACATCCATGTCTTCCTTGGGGTCCTGGATTCTGAATCCAGAGCTCTCCAGACGTGCTACACCTTTGCCCCTAAGAGGTGGTCCCAGGGGGTCTGACACTGGCCTACTTTTGGAGCCAGAGCTTTTTCTGTCTGGACTAGGTGGCCCAGCCAGGCTTTTTTAGGCTTTAGGGCCCCAGGAATGGTGACTTAGCCCTTGCTGAGATCCCCGTTGCTGCTGACTAACCTGTCCCCCAGCCTATGTATGGAACTTTCGGAACACCAGCACAGGCTGAAATCAGGCCATTAGGAGGCCATGTGAGGTTGACCTCCACCCTGATGGGGAGATGCCTTCTACCTGGGTGACCTTGCCAAACGATTGTTTATGGAAGGTCGTTCTAAGAGTACCACCACCCAAACAAGCGAATGCGATCAGGACCTTCTTCCCCCTTCTTTACATGACGGTAGCAGCTCTGGGAAGTCTGGTGGTGGGAGAACCCGGTGCCTTCGATGGCCTGATCTTTCCCAGACGCGTGTGGGGTGGAGCGCTCCAGCAGGACTCCCGGCCTGTCCTGGCAGCGAGGGCTCGGCAGCCCCCGTGGGGACATGTGCCCCAGGCTGGTGTGTGGCCTTCCTCCTAGCCAGCTGTCCTCAGCTTCGGTGTCTGTCTGCTCGTTTTGACAGCTGCTTTTACGTCCTTGCACAAATCTTTCTTGTTCTCCTCGAATGTTTCTTCTGATGAATCTTTCCTTCTGTTGAAGTAGGGCCCAATGGTTTTATAAAAAGTCAGCCCTGGTCTCCATGTCAGTGGATGTTGAGTGCTGTGATCTGAAACTTCCAGAAGTAGAAAATGCACAGGGGTCAGGCTGAGCTCCAGGGAGCTGTATTTTGCCTGCAGGCTGCATAGCAGAGCTGACGCCCTGCACGAAGCCACAGATCCTAAGAAATCAGTTCCTCCACCTCAGGGTCTGTGTCATGGGTGACAGGGGGCAGACGCACTCCTTGGTTTGTGATTTGAAGGCTGTCCGGTGGAGCTCGTGTTCAGTGGGCGGGCGGCTGGCAGCCGTGCCTCTGCAGCTCTGACAGTCCTGCTGGTACTCGCTGCTGCAGGCCCGGGTCACAGCTCCAGCACCAGCGCCCTGGGGGGCACACTCAGTCCAGGGACAGAGCCGCCTCATGGCATCGGGAGGCAACAGTGTGATCACGGCGGAAAAGGCCCCTGAAGAAGGCAGGGTGGGGCTCCGGGGGCTGCTCTGAGCGCAGAGATGCCCCCAGGTCCAAGTCCACTCCCCCTCTGCCTGGGCTTGACTGAGTCCTGGTGTAATTCAGTAGTGAAGGACAGCAGCTGGTCAGATCCCAGGAAGCAGGGACTGGGAGAGGGAGGAGGTGAGCGAGGAGACCCCAGGAGGCGGGAGCCCACGGCGCCCCGTTGCATTCTGTTCTGGGGCATCAGCTGGTGCTGTTGCCTGGGATGTGCTCCAAGAGAGACAGACCCCTCCTTACTCTCCTGGGGCTGGAGTTCCAGGTCTCTGGGTGGCCCTGCCCTCTGTGGGAGGCTCATGGTTGGTGAAAACTGAGCCTGATGGGAGAGATGGGTGACTCGGCCACCCATGACTGCTTCGCCCTCTGCTCCTGCCCGCAGGATGGTCCACCTCCATGGAGACGCCCCACAGCCTCCGTACCACTGGGCCGCCCTGGCCTGTGCTCGGTGGCCCCAGTCCTGACCCTGGGGCCACTGAGCTGACCCCACTCTGAGAGCCTGGCCAGGCTGGCAGCATGGAGCCCTTAGCTCCCCAGACTTTGCCGAGGGGCCACCGGATTCCAGCATGACCCCTGGCCTCTCCTGTCTTGCACGCTCTGCGTGGCCACTGGTTCTGAGGGGCCACACGACCCTTGATTGAAGAGCACAGTGGACTGTCTCCTCTGACAAATTCCTTTTTCTACAGTCGATGTATTTGTAAATGGTACAAGATGAAGGACGGCAGCTTTCTGTTCTGGCCTCTGAGCTCTGGGGTTTCCCCCAAAGGCCCCATTGGCTAAGTGGCTGGGACTGGGGCCTGACCACCCATGTGCAGCCTGGACCAGCTTCTTGCAGCATCCTAGCTACTGGGGACTTGACATCCCAAGAACTCACAAATTCTCCGAAGAAAAGTGTGTTGGTGGGTGAGGTGGTATCTTCACAGGAGATGTTATAGGGACCTTGTTGGCCGAGGAGGAAAGGAAGTGGGGACTGAGTCATGGTCAGTGAAGGAAACAGTGCCTGTCCCCTGCCCCACATGCGCCTGTGTCCTTGGCAGCCCAGCTCTTGCTGCTCGTGCCCTGTGCTGCTGCTTCCCCTTCCTGGTCCAGTCCGGCGGGGTGGGGGGTGGCGGGGGGCGGACTGCCTCCCACAGCTCCCCCTCCCGCTGGGGGCTGGGGGCCGGGTCTGCCGCGGGGGCAGAGGCAGCAGACAGAGACCCGTGGCCCCTCTCTCGGCCCTGCGCCTTCTCTGAAGCGGCTTTGCTCACATGGCAGGTCCCTGCAGGTGCAGGGGCTTCTGCTGGGCTAGCTGCTGCCCACTTGCCCCAGGGAGGGATCTGAGCAGCTTCCCTGCTCCCTCTTGGCCACTGAAGTGTCCCTTGGTTTCTCTTTGACTTGTTCTGTCTGGGGTCCCTGTAGTGGACTGCCTGGGGGACGCACATGGCAGGTCCCATCTGAGGTGACCTCGTCTTTTTTTTTTTTTTTTTTAAAGCAAAACTTTCTGGGCAACAGCAAGGCAAAGGGGGCATCCAGCCCTGGTGGCCCAGGGTGACAGCTGCCCAGCAGGGACCTTGAGCCAGGTGGTTGGGTCTGTGCAGCTCCCTGAGGTGGGAACACTGTCCTGGTCTGGGGTGGGGGGTGCAGCGCACTTTCTGAGGGGGCTGCCCTGGGAAGGACAGTTCTGGGGCAGCCGGCCTGTGTGTGCAAAGCCCTGGCCCCTGCCCCGGCACTCTCCCTGTGGCTCGCCCCACAGGGTGCTCAGGAGAGAATCCAGCAGTAGAGGACTCGTCTTCTCTCCAATTGAGCCTGTGAACAGAGCGCTGCCCTAGACACAGCTCTCGGCCATGCGCAGGCCATCTTTTCCCAGCCACTTGACTCCCTGCCCTCCACGGCCCTCCCCGGCCCTCCCCTGCTGCCTGCTGTGCGCTCAAGCCCGGGCGAATATGCCAGCGCACACACAGAGAAGTGCAGGCACGTGCTCACGCAGCCTGGCTGCCTGCCTGCCTCCCTCCCTCCCTCCCCTTTCTGCTCCCGAACTGCCAACCCCAGCGACAGGCCCTTGGTATTGGTGCCAGTGCTCTGTTTGAAGGCTGGGATGCAGACTGGCCTGTCTTGGACTTACATGTGCTATCATTTGATGTACTTTGATTGGCTAGTTTCTGTTCGTTTTTACTGTATATTTATAGTAATAAAATCATGCAGCAATATCTTGTCCGCTCCTTCCTCTGCGCATTGCACCGAGGGACCTCAGCTGCTTCTTGTTCTGGAGGCAGGACGGCGGAGCGGCTCTGGCCGCCGCCACCGCAGTGTGAGCACGTCCGTGTGCGCGAGTTGTCAGTGGCACGTGACTTCCAAGAGGGCGAGAGCGCATGAGGTGGTACGTGAGGCGCACGAGCTGCTGTTTATTACAACTGTGGCCATCGTGCTGATTCTGGGCTGGAGTGAAGCGGACTCTGGGGACGGGGCTCGTCTTCTGAGCGGCGGAGCAATCCCCGTCTTCACTGCCAATCGCTCCCTCAGGTATTTACTGAGCACCTACCGTGCTGGGGCTTCAGGGGGCCCAGACCTGCATGGCCCCGGCCCTGGGAGTTTGTGTCCTAGGCACTGGGACACTGTGCAAGTAATCCGAATCTTCCCAGGTTGGGTGACTGTTGAAAGAGTCAGCTGGTGACAAGGTGGAGCTGCATGGAGTACTTGATTTAACCTGTGGCGGAGGAGGGCCTCTCTGAAGGGCGTTTCAGTTGAGCCCTGCTAGTGCCGACAAAGGCCCTGGGGCCAGAGTGAGTCTGGTATGACCCCTGAGCAGAAAGAAGCCCTAGTGGCTCCGGTTCCTGGAGCGTCAGAATCGAGGGGTGTTGGTGGGGTGCAGTTGCCTCAGGACCTTGTAGGGACAGTTTTATTCTGAGAACAGTCAGAGGTTTTTACACAGGGCAGCAACTCTCCACAGCTGTCGTGTGGAATGGATTAGAGGGCCAGGTTTGGTTGCTGGCTTCCCTGCCCTGCAGGCGGCCTCCCAGTAGGGAAAGGCTCTAGCACCCCAGAGCTCCCAGGCAGCCCCACTGGCCCCACTCTGCCTCCTCAGGTCCCCTCTGACTCAGGTGCTTACTGGTGAGATCAGTGTTCTCAGCTAGCATGCCATGCCCCGTGGCAGGCCTGCCACCCTCAGCCCCGCAGCGGCTGTCACGTTTGGGTCTGCCATGGTCCCAGGGTGGGTAGAAAGGTGTTCCGTGTCAGGCGAGTTCTTGCATGGGCTGCGCTGGGTCTCCCTCTTTTGCCAACGGACCAGGAATTGTGTTAACATCTTGTGTCAGGGAGGGGTTGGGGGCATGGGGTACCTTTCCTCTGTGCCCCCTTACTTCCCCCAGCCCTGGGTTTGGGTCATGGAGACGTGGCCGCCTGTGGCCTGGAGATGTAGTTGTTTCGGGATGGGCCCTTCCCCTCGCTGACCTCTTTCAGACACTGTTACTTGCCCTGGAATCTGGCTTCTCCCTGCCAGTTGTGGTTGTCCCTTATGAGTTCTGACCCCTGGGAGAGGCCATGGCTGGGGACAGAGCCTGCCTCTTTGGATCTTTATTCCCCATTTCTGAGAGAACCGGCACGGACTCACTGTGTGAATGAGTGTCTAGTGGGTCCTACCAACCCCTTGCCCGCCCTCTGCCCCTGCTTTCCTCTCCTCAGCCCTGCTCAGGGCAGCCTTCTCTGCCACAGCGCTTGCCCTCGCTCACTGCGTGCAGTTCTCCGAGGCTGTGGCTGGGGCGCCCATCCTGTGAGTGCAGGTGGCAGTTCCTTCACTCATTTAAACCCGTGCCCACTGTGGGAGGAGAATGGAGTTTGGGCCAACCAGTGGAGTGAGTGGCCCCATTGCAGGATTCCAAGGAGCCCCAGGGCTCCCTCTTGGACACTTGCTTCCCGTGTTCCCGAGCCCCAGCGACTTGCTTCTCCCGCAGACACGGGGTAAGTACTTAAGGCCCCCTCTGTGAAAGTTGGGAGGTTTTCTGTTGTGGACACGGGAGGAGACAGGGTGGGAATCTAGGGTGGGATCCTGGCTCTGGCACCAACTGCTGGGTGCCCTTAAGGCAAGTCCTGTTCCTGTGAGTCCCAAGTTTCTCCTTGGTAAATGGAGACCCCATTTCCTCCACCCGAACCTGGCATATTGTGACTGACTGGGAGGATACTTGGGATGCTGGGCTCGGATTTAAGGTACTTCCTCCCCCAGCAGGATGGGTCTAGGAGCCCCAGGGGTTGTGCGTGGACACGGACTGTGGGGGCAGCCGGAGCTCTGCCGGGCCCTGCTTTCCTTGCTCTTCTGGAGTCGGACTGACCGTCAGTGACCTTAGATGGGAGTGCTTGGCTGGCGCGCGTGCAGGGAAGGGTCGTAACCTCCGGTCGCGGGGCTCCGCGGAGCCCTGCTGGGGGAGGCGCCGGCCGGGGAGCGAGGCGGGGGCTGGTAGTGTGAAGCCTGCGGGGCGGCGCTCCCAGGGAGGTACTGGGGGAAGGCATAGGACTCGTTGCGGGCGGTCGGGAGCCCCCAGCCCGGAAGCAGCGCCCGCCCGAGGGCCCCGAGGCCCCGCTCGTTCGGGAGAGCTCAGCCCGGGCGCGGTGCCTCCTGGGCGTCGTGGTTCTCGAGGGCCGTGGGCGGGGGCGCGTGCAGCCCCTCCTTTTGCACACGCCCCTTCTGCGCCTCAACGACGCGACGGAGCGCCGGGAAGGGCTCGGCCCCGATGGGCGTCGGCAATTGGTGGAGGGGCGGACCTAAGAGCGAGCCCGCCTTCGGATTGGCCGGGCCCGACGGGGGCGGGCCCGCGCATGCACTTAAGGAGCGGTGCCCCTGCCGCGGCGGGGCAGTGTCAAGATGTCGGCGGCGGTGCCGGAACTGAAGCAGATCAGCCGGGTGGAGGCTATGCGCCTGGGGCCGGGCTGGAGCCATTCGTGCCACGCCATGCTGTACGCCGCCAACCCCGGGCAGCTTTTCGGCCGCATCCCCATGCGCTTCTCGGTGCTGGTGAGGACGCGGGTGGGCGGGCGGGGGACGGGGCGCCGCTCGCACCCCGCGCGCCGTGACCCGGCCCTCCCTTGCAGATGCAGATGCGCTTCGACGGGCTGCTGGGTTTTCCCGGGGGCTTCGTGGACCGGCGCTTTTGGTCTCTGGAGGACGGTCTGAACCGGGTGCTGGGCCTGGGCCTAGGCTGCCTGCGCCTCACGGAGGCCGACTACTTGAGCTCGCACCTGACCGAGGGCCCGCACCGCGTCGTGGCGCACCTGTACGCACGGCAGCTGACGCTGGAGCAGCTGCACGCCGTGGAGATCAGCGCGGTGCATTCGCGCGACCACGGCCTGGAGGTGGGGCCGCCGCCCGGGCCCCGCCCCCCGCCCCAGGGTTTGGCTCTGGCTCCGTGGAAGGCACCGATGGGTAACACGTCCCCCTGAGGGTCCCCTGGCCGGGCTGGGTGGGGTGTCGCTGTCTCCAGCATCGGGGTGGGGAGAGGGAACTGGGGGTAGGTGTGGGAGCGAGGGCCCGGGGCTGGGGGTTCCCTCGGGGCTGTGTTCCATCTGCCTTGCTGCCTGCCATTGCCAATCCTGGGAGCGGGGAGTGGGATCGGTGGGAGGATGGGATGGGGTAGTGCCTTCTGGGGAGGTGGGAAACTAGGGCTGGTTCATGGGCTGGGATCTCAGGGTTGGGGTG